ACAAAAAAAGATAGAAGAGAGAGAGAGAGAGAGAGAGAGAGAGAGAGAGGGCTAAGGTTGAAATTCTATATAAAATCAATTTACTGGTAATACATTTCAAAATGGCATGGTGAAAAATAAAAGTATATTACAAAATCTATAACATATTATTAGCGTAACAAACATATTGGGTAAAATAGCAACACTTGAAGTAAACTTTTCACACATAAGTGAAGTTTTAATAAAAAAATATATCAAATAAGTACAATATTCTTACCCTGTTATGTCTGTGTATTAACACCAGAAAATAAGCATAAATTTGAATTTTGAATAATATTTTTAGCACTAGATCCTTTTGCAAACAAGTTACTTATAGACCATTTGACCATTTATAAACTTAATATAAAATATATTTTCAATGATCATTCACCTTAATACACCAACATAAAACACACATGTGTATTACGGGATATCTACTGTTATATATCTCCATTAACTGGTAAAGACTAAAATTCAAAATAAATGTTCATGATCGGTATTTATTCAGCGTATGGGCATTGAATCTGTACATCATATGCCTACTACTGTCTAGGAGCCAATGTCCTTGATGAATTATTATTTCATAAACTATATAATAGAATAAGTGAGTGACTTATATCTGTGTTCATAATATATGTGACATATACTAATAATAACAATTATACATATGGTACATATTGTAGTGCGTAAGAGATTACAGTTCATGTGATTACAAGTAGTTAACTGTATATACAGTACAGTTATAATAACTATTCAGTTATGGTATGCGATAGATATGGTGTTAATGTGTTTATTATATACATTAATCTCTCTCTCTCTCTCTCTCTCTCTCTAACACAAGTATTTATGTTGTAAAGAAATTTTTAATAGGAATTTTGACGACAAAAATAGTTTTCAAAACAACCCTGAGCTAACCGCCTGGTGTGCAATGTTTTTGCGCTTTTTAATACACAGAATATTCTGTATTATTCTAAGAATAATAGATAGAAATGTTACACAATAGCCGTATCGACAGACATAATATCTACGTATAAAAAGAATTGTATATTTTTCATATACAAGTTTATTAATACAAATACAAAATATATGAAAATATACTATACTTTTTATACAAGCTTATACTAAACAATGCAAAACAACTATATTGTGTCCGTTTATTGTTTAATAAAACAAAAGCTAAACAACAGCCAAAACAACGACAATAAATTTGTTTTGTTTCTCTCTCTCCATAGAAATACAGCGATAAAAATGTTTTTTATTTATATAACTATAAGTTATAGACTATAACTCTATTATAAGACTTGTTGTAATCAATCAAACAATTGAATAAAATATTTATATTAAAATATAAGTTTTTATTTTTATGTCTGTCTCTCACGTCCCCACTCATCCCCTCACTCGCACTTTCACCCCCTTTCACATATCTGTATATTATACATAAAGTTATATTGAAATAATAGTTTTATATTAAAAAACAACCGAAATATAACGCTATTTATATTACATTAATAAAGCATTTGTTTGAAAAAATAGTGATCAATAATATGTCAAATTATTATTTATTATTTACTATATTTTATATTATTATTAATATTTTTTGTCATGTTTTGCAATGACATTGAATATAGAGATTGAGAGAAAGAGAGAGAGAGAGAGAGAGAGAGAGAGAGTTTTAGTCTAGAGGTTTTTATTTTTGCTTTTGTGTACTTTTATTTTTGTTTAGCACTCGATGTACGTCATACTCAATGCATACAATATTCTGTGCTATTATATAATAAAATACACAATTTATATAACTCAGTATAGTTTTTTAACTATACAGCCCAACCCTTTTTCGCAACCAAACGGTTATACTGTAATATATAGTAAATTATGACACTCTATAAATGGTATTAATCAATACTTTATGTGTGCGTTTGAATTGTATGAAAATTTTATTGCTTTATTATTATTATTAAAATTTAAGTCAAATATAAATATTTATATTAAGACCTAAATTATTTTTATGCTATATATACTGCATATATGGTTAAGATAGGTGTGACATAAATTAGATACAGCTCGGGTAATTTGAATATTTTAGTTTATTTTATACATATATTATATAACATATTCACGAATCGTATAAAATATTTAATTAAAATGATGATAAATTTTGCACAAAACTTATCATGAATTATTAAAAAAGTAATACAGTGTCAATCAATTGAGGAGTTATAAAATAAATTAATATTATTAAATTAGAGCCCAAAATATATATACAGTAGATAGAATGTACAAAATGCCCACGTGCTGTCAATTCATGCATAATGAACTAGATTATTTCCAGTTTGATTTCCAATATAAATCCAATAGCTCATTAACTAGAGGGTCAATAATTGATTACAAGTGCCAATGACAGCCAGTGTTAACTATTATGCACAGTGTTTATATAATACGCGTACAATATAATTGTTGCGTAACTTTCAATAGTGATTTTGGCTTTACATACATAAATAAATATACATTATAAGCCTACACACTGTTTGAGTTAATATAGCTTAGGGCAGTGGCAACAACACCTAGTAATTTTTTATATTCTAAATACTAAACATGCTTGGCTAATAAAAATCAATCATAGTTTGCCACACGCCATATTAAATGTTAGCTTCGTAAATGCACCAATATATAACAATGATTAGTTATTAGTTGTTTGATTAGTTATATTTAGTTGACAAAGTTAATATATGTAACATCAACATACACACGACATATATTACATATAACATACACACGAACCAAATAATAATTACAATCAAATTTGGCTTATATAGTGTACAACGGGGTTGATTAACCGTGTTTTGGCAGATAATGTACCGAAAAAAACTCACAAAATATCCATTAAATTACTGGCAAAGGCTTATCTATAAATCCCACGTATGCCGTTTATAAAATTTATATATAAAATAAGCTCTTGGTTCAATAAAGTACAGTGTACGCTTGCGATAATGAACCCAGCTTATAGTTTATAATGGCGATTTATGAATGGTTGTAAAATTAATACATAATGATAGTAAAATTATTTATATTATATATTAAAATAATTAATGACTTATTATCAGAATATTCTGTATAATTATTTTGTATAAAATTCTATACGTTTTGTAGTAATCAGTCAATGATATGGCTATTTATAACCGTATTATTGTTGTATAATAGTATTGGGCGTTAGATATTGAGTTCAATACATTGTAGTAATGATGGATAATAATATTATTAGTATTACTATGATAGTTTCTGTTTTATTTTTTATATAATAGATATTTCTTATAATACACGTACAATACAGTCTACCTATCTGTACTCTTATACGTGTTACTCTCCGTAACTTCCGCGTTATTCTGACATTATTATAGAAATAAAATAAGTTTTTGTCATATTTAGTGAATAGATAGTATATTAATTAATATTTATATAAAAGCATAATGAAATTTACAATAAATTATGATTTTATATTTGTGGTTTTGATCTAAATGATAGATTATGGTAAAGCACAGAAATTGATGCTATTGAATACTGACTCGAGAGAGAGAGAGATGAATTTATTACCTTTTTGTTTAATTAATTTATATTTACTCACTAGGCTTTAATAGAGTAATACAATGTGTAGTGATATAGTGTATATAACCCAATATAGCTCATATAATACCAATTATTTACTCTTAACACAATATGTTTTAATACTCATTGTAACAAATGTGATAAAATCAATATATTTTATAATGCATTTTATTTAATGGTGAAATAATCAAATAAAGGTCCACTGTGTAAACATTACCGGAATTATATACCTTGTTTTTATTTAGATTTTGCTTAATCATATAGAATTTCATTTTATACAACAATGTTATTTGCAATATTGCTAATGGTCTACAAAAATAATGCAAATGAAACTTTCAAGGGCAACTATAAATTTGACCAATTAGTATATCTTTAGCTTAACTAATTAGTTAGATGAACTAGCTTAAATATTGTAAATATGTTTATTATTTATAATAGGCACGTGTCTTTAAAAATTAATTAATCCAAATTAAATATATTTACAAATGTTATATTATAATATAATAGATTGTTTATAATACAATACAATTACACAAAAAGCAACAAGGTTAAACAGGTAATAAACAAAAGCCATTAATTTAGTTAAACTATATATTATAATAAACGGAACCAAAACAACAATATATACTTGTAATAAAAAATGTTACAAAAAAATCAATTATGGTATGAAATGTGTATAAAATATAAATGTGATTTTAATTGAACAAAACAATACACAATACCAATGAACACACAAAATGTAATTAACATTTGATGTTATATAAGGTATATATAACAGAATATTCTGTAGTATATTGTGTTAAGCATTAGTAATGTCGATAAAAATTATATTTTATTTCATACGAATGTTAAATAATATATTAACCCAACATTTGATGTGCACGAAAATGCTCTAGAGTAATTTGATTAGACCTTGACATTCGTACTGTAATTTGAATCTAACATAATCAATTTCATTTACAAAACACACACATAATTTACTTTACATGCTAATTAAATGTGGTAATTTACAGCTATACAAATGTTTATATTGTTTTACAACAGTAACTGTTAAATTTATTTAAACTAATTAAATTAATTTTACTATTATTGTATAGGAATTGAACCAGTTTGAAAACATCAGCCGACTCGCCAACCACAATAACGTAAACAACATGGACTTTACATTAGCCCTCTATGCGTCCAAAGCCAAAAAGACTATTGCCTGTTGTATCGATGAATATGTATGTTCATGATCAATTTTATTTACATTTATAGATAACCATTGTTTTAATTTTACAAACATCAATTATTTGATAACTTATTATTTTATTTGCTTAACACAAACAGGATAGTAGATTTCCCAACGGCGTGCCCAAGGCGCCACAAAGTACCTCGTTCGCTCTGGCCTTACCAATTGTACAGTCGGACAATACCTTAATAGGTTTGTATGACATTATTATTTAGTTTATTACCGAGATTTAATTAAAGTATCATTATTTTAAAGGTGTACTCGAGCTCTACCGGAAGAAAGGATCGCCATATTTCTTTGAGGAGGACGAGGAGGTTTGTTTTGAATAGATCATGGTTAATTGATAAATAGTTATTAATCTTGTTATATTATTAAATTGCATCTAGATTGCCAACAGTTATCTAGTGTGGGGTGGAGTGGCCCTCCATTACGCTGAAGTATGTATTTATTTTTTCTACAAAAATAATTCACATAAATTACCATATTTTAGTTTTATTGTGTTATAATTACTTTGTGATTGCATTTACGTCATAGAAATGTTTTAATTACATTATATACATTAGGCTATAATTGTGAATTTAGATGCGGGTTATTTTTAGCCTTTGGTCAGTGGGCACCCAAAAGGGTGTGCCCCACCCTATTGGTTTAGATCTAGTGGGCTTTTATATCTATTTATATCTTTATTATTATGTACATAATTATGACGATGATCTACTCTGGTGCGAGCATTAAATTATAAAGATAATTTAATTATGATTAAAAGAAATTTTAGAAAATCATACAAGTTATTTGACATACTGTAATTACTAGCTAAATTTTATAGACTGTATAAATATTCATAATTATTTATAGTACATGAGATTTATATTAGAAACAATCATTTTCAGACTTGATCAAATATTAATTATTTTGCAAGATATGTAAGAATTTTCACTATAAATAGTGTACTGAAGAGTTTACCAACTATTATAATATATTTTAACAAACTAGACGATAATTAATAGTTATGAATTGTTCTATGAATTACAGACTATGATAAAAAGTATTTTAATTTTTTTGAATCATTTTTACAAATAAATTATACGAGCATTTTATTTTTATTTTTAATAGTATTTTATAATGGTAATATTTATTATTATATTTTTAAGCATACATTATATTATTACGTTAATAAATATATTATTGATAAATAAATTAATCTTAATATTATTATTTAATTTATTTTATTTGTTAGCTTTACTACAATCTATCGCAACAAAGAAAGCTGAATACATTTCTGCTATCAGTAGTCAGGTATGAATAACTCGCATCAAAAATGAAAATATTTTACATTCATTAAATAGCTTTGATATTAAATTTTTATCATTATTACTAAAATTTTATTATAATATGTGCCTTACTACGTATACAATGCATACCATTGCCCCATTATAATGCTTTATAAATTGAGTTAGTGCATTATTTGTGCAAAATTTAATAATTATAATAAAACTTTAAAGTAAATGTTGACAATAATAAGAATTGATTTTTAAAAAATAATTATGACAGATAATATACAACAAATTAACCGTTTATTTTTAACAATTTATATAATATTTTGTTAAATTTAGATTTTAATTTACCATCATATAAAAATAACTATTGTAAGATTATTTTTACATAAAATGACTTTATAGTAAAAACATATTGTAAATCCAGCTCATTAATTAATCAGCGTATGATGTATATACAAATTATCGTAATTAAACTAATTACCAAACTATTAGTTTCTATGATTAGGGTGAATAAAATATGTAAATTAAGGTAAAAATACAAATTATTTTATTTGAAACCAAAAAACACTTTTAGTATAATTAGATAATTTTTTACCCCTTTTTGCGCATAAATAACACAATTATTATATGCATTGCAATGAGTTATGCATTCAGGTCTCATATACAGGTATAGAAAGTATGGTTCAAAATAAATGGCACTTTTTCTTGTCGGGCAATTAGTTTAATATATTTTTTGTGTGAATATAATTATACGATTAAATCGTACGCACATTCTGTATATGATATACAATTTACTGTTAAATAAATGCATAAAATATTAATGATGTGTAATTTATATTATGCTCACACAATATATAACAAATGATTGTGTTTATGATTTTTGCATAAAATTTTTGAAAAACATCATTAATTTATGCATATTGCTTGTGCTTTTGTAATATGTATTTTTAAATGATTAATTTATATAATGATATTTTTTGTTTGTTAGATCTGTATTCCAAGATATGGTTAATATGGACGTGGTAGTATCCAAAATATTGGTTAGTAAAATAGTTTATAATTATTTATACTAGCAACATAATAAAATCTTTATTAAAAATTTTAATATAACAATTAAACACACATACAATTTAATTAAATACAAAACTGTACTAAAAACATAAGATATCCATGTTGAATATAAAAATAAGCAAATCCTACAAATACAGTGGGAACTCTATGCTGTGAACCTTCTATGCTGTGAACTACTCTATGTTATGAACCATAAACCAAAACATACATCACATAGACTTAATGTTAAAACCACCTCCATGTTGTGAACAACTCTTTGTTATGAACCAAAAGTCCTGGACCCGATCTATTCACAGCACAGAGTTCTGCCTGTATATGGATTGGTAGAAGCAATTACAATCTTCATGTATAATTTTTTTAATTAAAATTAATTTTAATTTTTATCACACATTAGGAATATGCTCGTAATCTAGTGAATGCGGATAGGACCTCGCTGTTTTTGGTGGACTATGCTAAAAATCAATTATACGCCCATATATTTGACGCCAACGATAACAAAGAGGCCGATGCGCTAAAAAACGAGATCCGATTCCCTATTGGGGCCGGTATTGCCGGATATGTGGCCAAAACAGGGGAACCTTTAAACATACCCAACGCTTACGCCGATGAGAGGTTTAACCGTAGTATTGACCAGAAAACTGGTTACACAACAAAGAGCCTGCTCTGTATGCCCATTTTCATCGAGGACAAGTAAATATTTTTTAGTCGTAAATACAGTATAAATTATTAGGGAATGTGTTTATTTTTCAGTCTAATGCTTATTTTTAATTGCAAGATATTACTAATTAATAAAATAATAATTATGAGTTTGAAAATATATAAATATTTGTTTAATTATAAATGACACAAAATTTATAATTATTTAATAATTTAATTTACTAGTATATTAGCCAATTATCTTAAGTTTCCGTGCATTTGTATCATTTATATTATCAAGAACTAAGTTATTATGTTTACAATAATGTATTTAATTTAATGCAGTATAGTTTAGTATTAGAGATTAAAAAATAAGTTTTTATTTTATTTTGAACATATTTAACCTGCATTAATAACTGTCAATAGAATGTCATAAAATAAAACAAACTATAATTTGCTCATTATTGAATTTTTAATCAAAATACCCAGGGTGATTGGCGTACTGCAAATGGTAAATAAAATAAACGATGTATTTACTAAAGAGGACGAAGATAGTTTTGCCGTATTTGCCACTTACTGCGGGTTAGCCCTTGATCACGCTAGGGTGAGTTTATTTATAAAAATAATTTAATATTATATAGTATTTAAAGTTTTTGTTTAAATGAGCTTGATAAATAATCTATTTATAATTAAATTTATTATTAGTTATACGAAAAAATACATAAATCAGAGGAGAAATATAAGGTTGCGCTGGAAGTGCTGTCATATCACAACACGTGTACCAATGATGAGCTCAACACAATTAAATCGCGGCCATTAGATTCACTGCCCAATGAGACAGAGTATGTATTAATTTGTAATAAAATTGATTTGCTAATTACAGTATAACTTACTACATGTTAATTTTGTTGTTTTTAGTTATTTTGATATTATAGACTGTATTTGATTATTTTTGAATATAATAATAATATTTAATAGCATAATGATACATATTATTTGGGTTTAGAAACTGTGACCATTTTTATAATACAATAATTATTCGTGTGGTGAAAATATAAATTATAATATTTTTAATTTTTTTGAATTATCAAAACTGTAAAATTATTGTAAGGTAATTTACTAATATATTTAGAGCACTGATTTGATATATTATTTCAAATATTTCAATTATATCAAATAATTTATTTGGGTATACAAACAGTAACACGATTCGTTTATTTTAATTAGTACAATAAAAACAATTTTTTAATAAACCAAGTTTATAAAAAGGATTTAAAATTATGCGATAGGTTAACTACTGTTCATCTGTTATGCAAATAATAAATCTATTAATTTAAAAATATTTAATTTAAAAATACACAAACATAATATAATAATCATAAAGTATCCATAAAGATACACTATCCATCTATTTGGCAATATGATGGTAAACCTAAAAACTAGTGTTTTTACAAAATTCTAGTTAAATATATTTATCCAATTATTATAACAAAAAGCAAACAAAATTAACCTATCACATTTCTACCCCATAGCCCATCATTCTCTCCATACACGCTGTCCAACGACGAGAAGGTGTTATCATCGGTAAAACTGATCCAATCGTTTAGTGGCGTAACCAAGTGCGAAGTGGACGACATATACCGGTTTACATTGACCGTGCGCAAAAACTACCGCGCCGTGCCCTATCACAATTGGACACACGGCTATAGCGTGGCCCAGACTATATACCGGCTAACGTGGGAGTGTGATCATTTTTGTCCCCTGGAAAAGTTTTCATTTTTTGTGGCCGGCCTGTGCCACGATCTAGATCATCGGGGCACTAATAATCAGTTCTTGGTCACTTCTTGCGCATCATTAGCCGCCCTGTACTCCACGAGCCCTCTAGAGTATCATCATTTCAATCAGACAGTGTCTATACTCCAGGTATGTGTAGTTTTGTTGTATTTATGGGTTATTGTTTAGTTTTTTCTACTTTAATTTAGACAGTAATTTAGTTTATATGTCTATGTTGGTACAATGCAAACATGGTTGTAATAATTATAGTTGGTACCCTTACTATACCTGTACTACTCTATCTGGCATGCTGACTTTTTTGCTAAAACATATAAAACATCAATTAACTAATTAGTGCTTAATTCTTAATATACTTTAACGTTATCACGGTTATAATTTATAAAGAAACAAAAAACATAATTAATTAAACTAAAAGATTATGGTGGGATCTGATCGCCGTGTGGGTAATGCCATTTGCCAACCAAACCCTTGCGGATTTAATTAGTAGCTAGATTATTGTAGCAAACAGTATCATCATGTCCCTATGTATAAGTAAAATAAAATAGTGATACAATCATTTATATATCCTTCACATGATTACTATTTACGAGTATACAGTCACTAAAGTTTAAAATTTTAATTTAATTATAGTTATTTTATTATTTTATAAATATTATTTATTGATCATAATATGTATATTATTATATAACTTATTATATGTATAAAGTTTAATTTAATTTAAGACATGGTTATTTTAATGATTATAATTTTAATTTTAATTAAATAAAACAATATGCATTAAATTGCCATATAATACACTTACAGCCAATAGATGGCTATAAAGTACTGTACAGTACAACTCAAGCGCTACATATAAATCAATAGAAAAGTTTAATTTATAATTAAGTTACGTTGATATTAATTACAACTAATTAATAATTAAATTATTGTTTTAATTGAATTAAAAGCAAAACGGAATGAATATATTGAAAAACATGTCATCGGAGGACTACAAGACTGTGTTGGCCAACATTAAGCATTACATATTGGCCACAGATATGGCCAAGTTTTTTGGCACGAGCAAAAAGCTAAACACGCTGGCCACTAATGGCACGTTTAACTGGGCCAACCCTGAGCATAAGTAAGTGTGGTCAAATTATTTAATACTAGTTATGAAGATGTCCATTTAAATGTCATAACCAATTGTTTAAGTTGCATTAGTTTTTGTATTATTTATTAATTACAGTTTTAAGTCATGTAGAGTATGCTTGAATTTAGTTGTCATTGATTTTATTGATAACATTAACTTGCTAAATACATTATTAATTTAAAATATAAATTAGTAACATGTAAACGTTACAATTTATTACTTAAATTAGACTATTCTTAAACTAATGTAATTATTAAACACACTCTAAGTAAAAAGTTATAAAATAAATTTAATAATTAAAAAGTGCCCTATTTAAAAAGTTAAAAATAAATGACCTAACTCAAATCAAAACTTATATATAATTAACGCACCCATAGATTACTACTATCATCGTTGGCAATGAATGGGGCGGACCTGAACTCAACGGCGCTGCCCTGGGCAGAGGCGCGGCTAAAGACCAAGGAGCTTTTTGACGAGTTTTACGCCATGGGTGATAGCGAGAGACAGGCGGGTCGGGAGCCCATAGCGCTAATGGATAGGCTTAAACTCGATGAACAGCCCCGCACTCAAGTAGAGTTCCTCGAGAACGTGTCCATACCGTGTCTAAAGTTGGTCAATCAGTTTTTGCCTGAAGCCCAACCCTACCTTGATCACTCGTTGTAAGTATAGTGTGTTTTCGACATTGTTATTACTTTTAATTCAAGTTTATATATCTAAATTCATGAAAACTGATCAGGTTAGGAATTATATAGTAAATTATGAACTGTAAAGCAAAAATAAGTATAGTTAAAATAGTTATAGCAAGTTAACATATTGGCTCAACTAATAGAATCAAATAAAATTTTATTGTAATCTATAATGTAACATGGCAACAAATTAAATTTAATTGTAGATTATTGACATAAGTTAGCTTAATTTATTTATTATTTTAAATTGTTAAATTAAACAAAGATTAATTTAATAGATTATTTAATTCTACAATAATCCAGCAAGAACATTTACAATATAAATGTTTATCATATTTTATGGATATTAATTAAAATTAGATAATTGATAAATAATATAAAGAACTTGAACATATGACAAACATATTGTAAACCTCTCCAATTGATCAATTGCTTATTATTTTTATACATAAATCTATTACTCTAATTATGATAAATTTACAGTTTTACATGAAATAATTTATCTTGTTATTGGTTTAATTGAAAATTATAATGATAGCATCTCCACGAGTAATATTCATTATTATTCTGAATTTAATTATTACTATTGAAGGCAAATAATTTATTTTATTAAAATATCATTTAAAGCCATTTACTTTTGTACATTAAATAGATGAAATTAACTTAATTAATATTCAGTTTAAATTAACATAAATACTAACCCAATATATATTTTATTTAGTGAAAACCTAGATCATTGGCGTGAATTAATGAAGGAGTCAGAGAAAAAGCGAGCTTGTTTGATCAGGATGAATGCTGAGGACATGGAGAGCCCGGTGTCTATGCCAAAGATTGGAGGGGTCGAGAAGGCCAAGTCATTTAGGCTGTAAATTTATCATTATGAATATATTTCATTATGGTTTGAAAAATAAATTATTTGGTTAATAATTTATAAAGTGTAATTATTGAATATAATGATATTTAAATCAAAAACATATGATATTATGTTTATGTTAATTATATTCAAATAATATGTTTAATTATATATAATAAAAAATCCACATTTTAAATGACCAGGGCGATATATAAAGTAAAAATTATACGCTGTGTTAAAGAAAATATTTCCATGATCAATAATGAAGCTGTGTGATATTTTTTACAATGATTCAAATGGTGCCCCTGGTCAGTTTATAATGGAGATATAATACAATTAAATTATAAATATGTCTATAAAATCCATTATTTGTGTAAATGATTATTAATCATTGATTAAACATTAATGTGTTTATAATTTATATCATGTTATAATTATATAATTAATTTTTCATAAAGTTTAACAAAACAAATACTTTATAAAATACTTATAAATATTTCATAATTATTAATGTTATTATAAAATATTATTATTATTTATTAATTTTGAATAATTAAGCAAAATAATCAAAACTAAAGCTTATTTTCTATTACATTAAAAACATTATTGTATTTATTATAAAAATACATATATTTTACTAATAATTAATAAAATAATAATTACTTATAATATAACTTATAATACTTTATTATATTAATTCAAAAATCACAATTTTATAAATAACATTTTTTCACAGATAAATTATAGTTTAAAAGCTTGCCTTATTATAATTTCTTAATTAATCAAAGCATAGCATTTTTAATTTATAGCATCTAGAAATAATAAACGAATAAATTAAAGAGTTTGAAAATATTGTATAAATTAATAAAATTACAATAATTTTTAAACCAAAAGTTTATTCACAAACCATTTTATTATAATAAATACAAATAAATTAATTTATAGTAAAATTTAACATAGGGGCAGGGTTAGTTGAATGGAATGTAATTAATAATCAGGTAATTGTAATTTATATTGATTTGTAAAAGGCACCAAGGTTGTATTTGATGCTTAGCTTTTAGCTTAACCCTGGAGTTTTTTCTTGTGAAACAGTACGGACATGGCGTCCATGATGGCCATGTGAATAGAAGCTCGTTTATCACCCAGGTCCATATCTGAACTTAGTACCGGGGTCTTGACAGTGTCGCACTTGGCCACGTCGATCAGAGGGTTGAGCTTGCGCAAGTAATTAGACACACTGTGTACCACACCCTCAAACATGGCCAGAACGTGGGAGAACAGGTCATCGGGAAGTACGCGCCCGGTGGCATCAATGTAGTTTACGTAGTAACTATGTAGGGTCATTTTAATTAGATATTAATGCTTGCCATTCGCAAATGTTGGTAAAATTGTTAGTTAACTACAGTACTGTAATGCAGCATTAGTCAACTTGTGAGTACAACCAATATCAGTCTTGGTAACTGTATGAATACTGTACTATGTACTGTGTATATGTAATAATTTACTGTTTGATTTAATGATAAGATTTAAAGTAATTTAAAATATGATTAAAAACACTAAATGATGTGACCACTAATGAACTAGGTAAAGTTAGCAAGCTATTAAAATTATTATTGCCCTCTATTTGTTAGCAGATTTGTTAATCATGTTTTTAAAAGTATTACTTATATAAAGCAAAGCTTTACATATAAAAAATAAATTATTTTCTAAAAAACAAAATACAAAATACCAGTGAAGTGTAACAATGTCCGAGGTGCCATTATCCGCTTGCTGGGCCATTATGGTAAACGCATTAATCAATTTTTCGCGATAGGGTGCGATTTCACTAGCTCGTTTGTTTATCGCACGCATAAAACGCAGCGAGTTCAGTTTGCTGTTGGTGTTGGTGCATACCTGATTAAAATACCGTAACATTTCCACCACGTACAGCCGGTATATGGTGGGCAGCTCCGGCACTTCACGGTACGTGTCCACCACGTAATCCATTATGTATAGCAATTGGGACTTGTATTGGCTATACATTAATTAATTACTTTGTTAATTTTCCCAAAAATTACCTTGATTACACATCACCTGCATATCTCCTTTTCCAGGCCCACCATCGACACAGGCCAGGGTCGGCTCGCGTCACCCGTGCGCTCATAACTGGCTATAATGTAGTCAATTTCATCGGTGCTGTATTTGTCGTCAAATAAGCATGTGCTGCCACCAAATAATATGGCACCTAGGTTGGGATTAATTTTGTGGATTAATTATAACATGTTAGATGTGGTGTACATTTACTTACAGATCAAAAATACGATTGGCGTATTAATAGTAGCCATTTTGGTAAAAACGATAATAATTAAATGAAGTTATACTATTAATAATAATAGTATAACATATGGGTTTTTAATTAATATATTTTATTAATTATTAATTGAATTAGTATTAGCAATGCTGTCTATGAGTAGTTTATGTAAAATAAATTTAGCATTAGTAGCGACAATTTGAATTAAGTAACAATGTAAATTTTACCAATTTTTGTACATTTTTGATTATATTCACATTATTAATACTGATATAAGTAGTGACTCTACTTATATTAATCAAAACAATTATATAAAGTGAATGATTAACTTAAAATATGTACCTGGCACGTTTTGACAAATAATTGTTAATTTATTTGACAGGTAAAATTATGTCAGAGAGAGGTATATTCCAATTAGTTAAAACTTTTAAATGTTTAGTTACATTTTGCATAAATCTTTATAAAGTTACAGTTTTATAGTGACAAAATATGTAAAGTATTGTATTGCCAGTTTAACGCAAAACACTGTGTGGTTAACATAACCTCCAGATTTACCTGGATTACAATGACAGGACAGAGAAGAGCTCAACTTTTCTACAAAGTGCAATGATAAAACATACAATAACTATATCATGCTAATAATTGTATGTTATAAATATTTTTTAAAAACTACTAGAATCATTTAAGTAAATAATACATCAAACAATAGTCTGTATTTTTAACAAAAATTTTTACTCATCAATTATTTCGTTGCCATCAATAAAAATATTAATAAAATAAATTATTATAAAAATTCTCTAATTTTAATCGTGTTAAATTTAATTTATTAATTTAAACATAAACAATAAAATGTTTAAAATATCAATCGACAAAACAATGATATGCAAATAAATTTTACTCCATCATGGGAACGCGGTTAGTAAGGTATGTTTTAAAAATTAAATTATTACATATTAAGTCATAAAATTACGAAAATTAACTAAGTAAACATTATTTTATATGGCTTGACCAATGTATGGAGCTGTGACGCGTTGGGATCAAGCAACAATATATCGGGCGTACAATAGTGTGGCCCCAATACAACAGGGTGACTATTAGTTAGCTGCAAAAATCTGACCATAAATAAAAATTGGGTGTTGAATGCAAAATAATTGCCGGCACACATGCGTCTACCCGTGCCAAATGGCATAAACGCTTTTGGCTTAAATTCACCGCAACAACCATGATTGTCTAGAAAACGGGCAGGGTTAAATTCTCCCCCATTATCCCAATGAGTGTCCGACCGAAGCATATTGTAGTTGTCATGAACAAGGAATGTGCCTTTAGGTACGGTGTGCTTCCCTATAAAATACAATTAATAACATTTACGTTATATTTTATAAATTAAAACTATAAACTTAAACTTTTGTTGTAATATAAACCTATTGACCATA